GTGTGTGTGTGTGTGTGTGTGTATATATATATATATATATATATATATATATATATATATATATGTGTGTGTGTGTGGGAGTGTATATATGCATGCATGCATGTATGTATATAAATGTATACTGCCCCTCTGTCCATAGTTTCTCTTTACAGATACTTCACTTGGGGGATGTAATGTGTATCTTCAAGGTCAGGAATTCTAGGATATATGAATGGAGGATGCATCGTCATACTACATCAATCATTCAGGACTTCTTGCTGTTCAACAGGCAATAGTGCAAAGTCTAGAATTTTTGCAGGGGAATATCCTCATGAGACATTTCATCAATTTCAGTGGTCTCTTAAGTTTGGTTCTTTCTATGCAGCCTATTCTAATTATGTCAGCCTCCTGCTTGCCAGTTTCCTCGGGTGATGGATTTCATAGCAGATTGTCAGTCTCAGTCCTCACTTTCTCCTGAGCAAATGGATTCTCCATTGTGCTATTTTCCGATACCTTTGTTCTCATTTTGGGCCTCCTTTGTTAGCTTTTGGCACTTATTGCAACTCAACTACAATCTTTGGACTGTCACTACCTCATCCTCAGGCTATGGTGGTAGATGCAATTGATCCTGCTTGGATGGAATTGCACATCTATGACTTTTCCTCACTTCCTCTGTTACTCATAGTTCTGACTATATTTTGATCCTCTACTTGCAAGATGTTGCTAGCATAGATTGGCCAGCCAAGCCATGATTTCCTCTTGTTCAGTTTCTTCATGTGAGTCCACCTCTGCATCTTCCTCTTAGTTTATCTTTCTTGAGACATCCTCAACTCAACTTTCTACACCAAGACTCTTCCCAGGTTATTGGGATTTAACATTTACAATTGTCTAGGGTGTGCCTCACAAAGAGTTTGTACCCACTTTACCAAACGTGTCCACCATATCTTGTTTTGACCTGTTTTTTACTTGGGTTTTGCTTTGTCTCCTGTTGTTTAGGTCAGACAACTTCTTCATTTTCCTTTAGTTATCCTAAACATCTGATGGTTTTAGATTCCCCAGTGCTACCCAGCCTTCTTCCCCAATGGCCTTTTCCATTACTTCATCGAAATATTAAGGTGGTACTACATGCCTTGTCTCGACAACCTTTCGAGCCTTTAGCCTTATGTACCATATGTCATCTCTCCCTTAATTGGTATTTTGTTGTTGTTGACAACAGCTAGAGTTGTTGACGTGTTTGTAGGAGTCTTTATCTCTTCCTTTAGGTCTTTCTATACCCTGATAGGTCCTTTCTTTCTAAGTCTGGCCACCAGAGAAGGAGATACATCTCTCTCTCCACTGTTGTTTTGCCAACTAATTCTTACCTGTACAATCGATCATACACTGATCATTTGTTTTGTCCTGTCAGACCCAGAGGTGTTATGTGGCTCACTCTAACTCCTTTTGTGGTGATAGTTCTCATCTCTGTATTCTATGGGATACTTTGATTTCCAAAGGTTTATCCCCACTTCCTTGGAAGTGGTTTTGCACATATCCAAGTTGCATATTCTGGATATTACAGGTGAGAAATCTTCTGAGAGTTGCATCTCATCAGCTTCAGCACATTTGTCTTTCACTGTCCATTTCTTTGATTCACTGGGGGATGGACATTTTATGGGCCTGTATGTGGATTTCTCCTAATGCTTTTTTTTCACATTCTTTAAGTGATCGGGCAGTTTTTATTTTGGTTTTTTTTCACTAATCCCCATGGCCGTCTTAACAACATCTAAAATATATGGAGGAGGGAGTAATATTATCTTGTCTTTCTTTTTCAGGGTCCCTTACGTTATGGTTTTACAGGATCTCACTCTGTGGCAAGTGTTGCCTAGACAGATGTGCTTTTATAAATCCAATTGTGCACTAGCAACCCATTTGACTATACTTAATTCTGGTTGCAACTTGCTCTGTAGAAATGAGGTGTTCCATAATACCATCTAGGCACATTACCGGATGGTATTGTAAAAGTGCACATTCTTTTTGTATTCCATGAGTATAATTCTGTATATGACAATAAAGTATTAAAAACATGAATTTCAGTACATACTCTGTATACTAAGTCCTTTGATTTGAAGCTTAAAGCATAGCTTGTTTCCTGAGCATCAGGATGGAAGAGGGAAACAGTAGAAGTGGAGAGAGCTGGTGACCAATTTGGTAGCCAACAACACACAAACAGATTTTAAGATAAAATGTAGAGGGAAAAGAATCACTTTGGAAAGGGTCCATTTTAAGTTTTTGTGAAGTAACTGTATATTGAATGTAGTGTTACTTTTTGAAGTAATAGAAGCACTGTTCAGAAACCCACATGAGAGAAAACAGGTTACAATAGTTATAGTAGTTGTACTTAAATACTATTTAAAATATTTTACACAAGATTGTTTCTTTTGTATAACAGTTTAAAAAGGAAAAACCTTGTTGTTTTTTTGTAAAAGTTAGCGTAACTCAGTGTCTTCTGCTGTAACTATATGTTAATATTTAAAACTAAATTTATCATTAATTTATATGAAGAGTATTCTTTCAAGTTGTTGATTCTCATTTAATATAAAAAATTCAATTGAATGATTGCAAAACATGTTTCGTATTGCAGGTGGTTTAACTTATTCAATCCTAAAGACCCCACGTTACTGCCAAACATTAGCAGGTAGGTAAACTATGAAGACTAAACTGTGAAAAAGCTACCAGTACTTTTTAAAATTCATTCTAATCCAGTCAGCAGAGATTTTCTTCTACATTCTTCCACCATTATTATCATTTCAACAAGCCTGTTGTAAGATGTAACTGATCTGAGTTTTAATCAAATTAGTTCATCAGCTTAAGTAGGCTTTTACTTCAAAAGTTTTTGTTCAAACATTATTTAAATTTGAGATTAAGTACAATCCTGATTATAATTGTACCATTTAGTGAGGGAGGGTAAAAAGTTAAGGAACTATTATCTGAGTAAGAACTATTTTGTTGCAGATGCTAGCTGCTTTAGGTTAAAGAGTTGACAATAATGATGTGTTAATATCTTTTTTGTTTTTCTAGTAACAAAGCTACATCTGCTCATGGAATCCGACTGGTTGAATTTCGTGATAAGGATAGTAATTATCTTCACCACTGGGAGTTTCTTCGGGGTGATGGACTTCGTGAGCTTCCTCTACATTTGTCAGACATGTCCAGTTGGCTTCCAGAAAACACTTCTATGTTAAAAATCATCATAGCTGATTCTTATGGAAACATCTTGAAGAGAGATGTTTCTTTAAAAAACTTAGATGTGTAACTTATGTTATAAATTGTGATAGGAAATCATGGTTCAAAGAATCTCGGTGATAGTGATCAGTGGCGAATAATTATTAAATATTTAATGTAAAAACTCAAGAATATGACAGGTATGTGATAGTAATTCCCCACTGTTATTTGTGTTCAAAATCACTAATAAGTGTATAGATAATATGTTAATAGTTTTTTACTTATTTTCTATAAATTACCAGTTATTGTATTATTATACAATTGCTTAGTTGCTCAGTGTAATAGTCTTACCTCTTGCAAAGTGATAGGTGCTGAATTTAGATCTTTAATTATTCAGAGTTCTTTATTCCATACAGTAAGAAAGAAAGATACTAATTCTACAGACATTTACTGAACTAGTAGTAATTGTAAATTTTGAAAATTAAAATGATTTTTTGATGACATAGTTGTTACAATAATGAACCTTTTACATATAATTTTATTTCAATTGAAAATCTAATATTTCTGCCATTATTTGTTTTCTGTGAGCAACCTTTTAGCAATAATTTTCTTTACTAGCACACCATTTCAGGATTTCTGGATTTAAACAAATGTCTTATAAAATACATTCCAATTTAAAGCATGTAACCTAGACAATACTTGCAAGCATAGACATTTTGAAATATTAATAAATTTTCTTGCTTATTAAATATTTATGTCTTTATATTTAGTGAGTACAAACAGTTTATTGCATACAACCTCCACTGCTAGATTGTTTTTTAATAAATTTTCTTTCCAATTAATTATATATTTGTCATTTAGGTTTATTAAATTTTTTAACACTACATTCTTAGTTCAGACCCAGAGAAGTTTTCAAGAATTAGAAGAGTGTGTGATAACAGTAGTCAACCACACCATTTTCATCACATTCATTGCCAACAACATGTTTCACTGAATTCATAGGTCTTCAGTAGTGGTCAGAATGTTATCTATAAAAGACACTTGTCACAACAGCAGATGTTATGGTGTTTTGCCAGCTTGTAAAAGGCATTCATATCATAACAATTGTTGTGACAAATTTTCATCCTGTTACAGAGTTCAGATTACATCCATATGCTTAAAATGTCATATCTTTAGAATAAATAACAACCTTTAGTTTCTGTTATTTGCTAAAGTTATTAATAAATTATATTAAAGTTTCTTACTTTCAGAAAGGAACATAACAAATATATATTAGAATATGCTTTCTAATTCCCTTTGAAGAATTTCCCAGTGTGTCAGTAGTCAGTACACGAACTTCCAACACTAAAATCCATGGTGAACAGAGCATAGATAGCCTGTTGTATAGCTTTGCAATGAGAAAAACAAACAAACTCTTTGAACATAATTGAAAGTAATTAATGCCTTATTTATACAGGAACAAGAACTGGGTACAATGATGTTACCAGTATATTTTCTATGCAATTTACTTGGCTGACATAAAAGTCCATTGTAATAAAAGTGTCAAAATGTGTAGGAAAATCATACTGTATTATATATTTTCTGTAAAGTGACCTAACTGTTATGGAAACAGTATGTGCTAGCCCCAGTTGTATACATTTTCTAATACAATGTAGACATGCTAAAGATAAAAATTATTTGTAGTGTTGCCTGCTGTATATTATTGAGTACCTATTACAGTAAAGTGAAACTACCAACTACTGCCTTTTTGTTTCTTTATCACTCAAATATAAACTGTAAATTAATACAAAGATTTTTACCATTTTTTAAATAACTTTCTATTCATTCATCAACACTGATAGGAGAAATTATTTTCAGTAACTTTGTTATTATACCTTGTATTATACTGTATTATATCTTATCAAAATAATTGATTTCTTTATGATAATATAAGAGAGGTAATAGTTTTTTTTTGTAAATCAGGGCTTAGATGTTCGGAATAGCAGAAAACAGAAAGTAATGGCTACAAAAATGCAAGTCTTTTTTCTAGTTTATACAAAAATTACAATAACTAGCCTTAAAGGTTGAAACTCTGAAGTGAAAAAGATAGTACAGCCTCATCACAGTTTCTGCAGAGAGAGACTTTTTTTGGAATCTTTTGCTCAGGGATTTATGTGACTGTATATCGATAATAAGTACATTGTCTGTTGTTCTCACCATACAAGTCTTACATAAGTTTTCATCTGTAAGTTTGGAAAGGAATCAATATTCGGTGTATAGCACTAATCCATTCAACTAAAGTTTACACTTACACAGTATTTGTAAAATGAAAAAAAATACTTAATGAAGTAAGTCATATGGTAGTTTGTCAGCCAAAGGTTACTGTAACCAGTTGGTTTCTTAACTACAAAAAATATGATAAGCATGAACTATGAGAACTTGCCTTTGACTATGGATGTAAAATCAAGAGACAAAAGGTGAGATTTCCTTCAAGATTTTTAGCTTAAATTTTTATTACTTCTCATTGTCTCATTAATCTCTGTCATAAAAGTTTAAAAATTGTTCTATATATATATACACCTAGGAAAAAGTTAAGCACCCCCCCAAATATTTTTCAGGATTGCTTATTGAAAATAAGGTT